TTTTTTTTTTAAATGTAAGAAATTTTTTCTTGTCAACAATGTTAGTCTTTTCTATGTAAAATAATTTTAAATGTAAAATAAATTAACATTAAATAATTATAAATGTAAAATACATTAACATTAAATAATTTTTCTTTTCAGCTTTTTCTATGTTCTTTTAAGAGAGAACTCATTGTTTTCCACAATTTTCATCTCAAACGTGTAGTTTATCAATTAAATAAGGATAATAATGAAAAAATATGTATAAAATATTCAAAACGTCATTTATTTGATTAATGATCAACAAAGTCAAAATAACAAATAAAAAGAATATATATGAGAGATTCTCACATAGGAACACAAAGAAATTTAAAGCATCTTATATTTGCTAAGTCTTTTTTTTTTTCAAAAAAATAAGTAAAATTGCCAAGTCCCATATTTATCAGCATAATATCAATTCACATTTCAAAGCTCAAATCACCATTCTCCATCCTCAAGATTTAAACATTAAGCAAAGCATCTTATAGAATGGTGGCCACTTTTCTTGATTTCCATTAGTTTAATTACTCCCCAAGAAAACAAAATCAACCCAATTTCTTAAGCCCCTTTCTAATATAAATAGCCCTTTCTGAAGAATTCACTTCCATGTTTACTCCCTTGTAACTCTCTCCCTAAATCAAGATTCGTGTTTTCTTTCATCTTTTGTTTATATTAAGGGCTTGTTTGTTTATGGATTAATTTACTCACTTTTATTTCAACTCAAAATTTAACTCAACTTTAATTTAACCCCACTATCTTTAATATTATTAATATAATTAAATAATAAAAACACGTCATTCTTACATATCACCTCAACTTTAATTCACTATTCATCCACTCACATATTTTTAACTACCTATCATTTCCAATCATTTATCTCTTACTTTATATCAAATCAATTTTAATCATTTTATTTTAAATATTATTTTAATACATTTTTAAAATTCTACTAACAACTAACCATACTACCTTTTCAAAATTAACTATGATTAACCAAAATAACTCATTTTGAACAAATTATTTCATAAACAATCAAGCCCTAAGATTTCTGTTGTGCTTAATGGCAAGCCCATCTAATGGGAGCGTCGAGGGGATTAATGAAGAAGCCAAATACGATCTCAGTTCTATCTTGCGCTCAGCAGACATGGATTACCTTATTCGCAACAATGGTGACCAGGTATTTGCAATTTGTTCTTGTGAGATTGATTTTTTTTTTCCAATGTTGTCCTAGGTAAGAAAGTTGTGCTTGTGGTATATTTGCGTTTGTTCTTCGATTAACTGTGTCTAAGGGTTTATGAGAGGGTTTATAATTTTATAGGGGTATTGGGTTTTGTTAGATTGTTTTTTGTTCTTGATTTCAAGGTTGCATTCGTGGGATTTGTATGTGAAGTTCAGTTAATATGCGTTCTTTTATCTTTTGGTGTCTTTGTTTATCCGTTGTTATTTGTTGATTTGTTTCACTTCTTTAGATGGGGCATTGCAGCTAAAACATTTTTGGGCTTCGACATAATTGTAAAAAGATTGAATTTTTATGTGGCTGTTCTCGTTGTTTTGTTTGTGGATGCACTAAGTTTAAGCTAGACCGAGCTTCGTAATCGATTACAGAAGCTAACATGATTGTAAAGAGATTGAATTTTTGTTTGGTTTTTCTCATTATTATGTTTGATACTACTATGTGTAAGCTAGGTCGAGCTTCAAAATCGATTACAGCAGTTAACAATATTGTAAAAGATTGAATTTTTGTTTGGCTGTTCTTGTTGTTTTGATTGGTGATGCTAGGTGTAACTTGTTTTGATTGACGTAATTGTAAAAACTTTGTAAAAAAGTTTGAAATTTTGTTTGGTTGTTATGGTTATTTTGTTTAATGATGCTAAGTGTAGCTGAGTAGGTACACCGAGTTCCTGACTTAATAATCAGTTACATTTGATGAAACTGATTTCGAACCAAGATTTTAGCTAAAGTGTAAGCTAGACCGAGGTTCGAAATCAGTTACGTCTAATTAGGACTTAATAATATCTACTTTCTGTTTTATTCCAAAATCTCCACGTTTTGATCTTAAATCCGTAAAGCTGCTAAGGGAGAATGAAATTCATGGTTACATTTGTTGATTAAAACATTTGATATTTTTTCCGAAAATCAAACGAAGGTGTATACTCAACGTCATTACTTGTTGGCTTTTTAACCCATCAAATGAGGTAAAACATGCACAAAAATCTAATAATTTGATTTTTTTTTTCCTTTTTCTGCTAGGTTAAAATTGATAATTTGAAGGGGAAAACAGTTGGGTTGTATTTCTCCGCATCATGGTGCGGGCCATGCCAGGGGTTCACCCCAAATTTAGTCGAGGCCTACAATGAACTCAAACAAGTTGACAAATTTGAGGTCATCTTCATATCTGCCGACCAAGATGACGAGTCGTTTAACTCTTATTTCTCTAAAATGCCCTGGCTTGCAGTCCCGTTTTCCGATACAAAGACACGCGAAAAATTGGACAAGACGTTTAGTGACGATGGGATACCTCATCTCGTGTTTTTGGATTACAGTGGGAAATTACCGAGGAAGGCGTACGAATAATTCAAGAATACGGTTCGGAAGGGTACCCTTTTAACTCCGAAAAGATCGAGCAGCCCAAGTTACAAGAATTTGAAGCTAGGAAGAACCAATCGCTCAAGCCATTGCTTGCATACGGGTCGAGAGACTATGTGATTAAATCTGATGGGGAGAAGGTTCGCTTTTTTTTATTGTTCATTTAAAGTTTGAGAATTTACGTGCTATCGTATAATCAATCTCTTGCGCTATTATACAGGTTCAAATTGCTAAGCTGAAGGCAAAACTATCGGTTTATACTTCATATTGTCCACTTACAAAAGTTGCATATCTTTCAACCAGAAGCTAGTCGAAACTTACGAGGGGTTGAAAAAAATTTGTAAGAACTTTGAAATTGTGATGGCACCCCTCGATAATGACGAGCAAATTTTATATACTAGGTATTTATTTTATATATACCAGAATTTATATACCTAGTATTTATTTTATATATACTAGGTAAATTTTCTTTCAAAAACTTTATAAAGTATTTATTTAGGCTTATAATATTTTATCATGTCCTCTTCCGAAAACATATTTCATACAAATGTAAACTTTAATGTTTTTAAATATGTTTTCTTTACAAAATAGTTTAGAAAAGTTGTAGGTGACTTCACGTCTTTTAATAATATAGAAAATTTTAAATAGTTTTACATATGTTAATATAATATTTTAGGAGTTTTTAACTGTTCAAATATACGAATTTATATGTTATCTTGAACAAGCTAATTTTATATCGTTTATAATAAATTGATATACCGTAAATCATATGACATGTTAACCCCACATCGTTAATTTATAATTATTATTTAATATCGTTTACCCTCATCTTTAATTTATAATATTTTTTCTTGCTCTTTAAAGAGAAGATCAATAATGGTTCCTCACTTCTTTCATTGAGTGGCTCGAACTCGATACCTATTTATAATTATTATTTAATATTGTTTACCCGTGCATCGCACGAGATACACACTAGTTTGTAAAAAATGATCTTTAAAAAATAATAAGTGTTTGGGTTGTAATAAGTGTTTAATATGTTTACGATGTTTCACTTGGTTGGTTATTTTTTCCTACTTTTATGGTCGATCTGATATGTAAAGTAATAAGATCGTGACACGTGTTATTGGGTGATTACGTAGTCCAAAATCCCAATGTCGATCTTGGAGTGCAAAATGAAGGGTTTACGGTAACAAACATAGACGTGGACCCTCTTCCCTTTGGAGTGATTCCAAACAACGACCAGATCGCGGCTGAGGATCGCAGGAGGAGAACTTTGATTGATAAGGTTCCAAATATGAATAATTTGGATGCCACACAACGAGAATTGAGGTACCATGATGTCCTCACAAGAGTGAATGGGGTGGCTCCACTCCCCTAGAGTTTGATGCAATTGCTTCAGGTTATCGTGGAGACAATGCAGGATATGGAGCAGACCCAATTGTCTACGATTCAGGCTCATCAGGCTTTGCAACAGACACTTCAAAGCCATCAAGCTCTACTTCAAGACCATTTAGGTATACTTCAGGACCATCAAGCTCTATTTCAAGCCATGCTTCAGGCTATCTAGCGGGCCAATCGAAGGACAACAACATTACTTCAAGTCATGACGGCGAGGTCTCGAAATCAACACATCCGAAGACGACAGATGAATGTACCCTTGGCCATCTTGCCAAAATTGTATCCCGGCCATCCATTTCCGCAGCCGCAACCCGTCCAAGGGGTGAATATTAATATGGGGCTATCTAGTGGGTGATATGTCCCCTAATAGGCTGATGCCTCTAACCAATTATGAGTTTGTAGGAATGCTGAAGCAAGACCTGCCTAATTTGAGGAGAACATTGAGAGCCATTTATTGGTTTTGGTTTTATAACGATGTCAGTCTGGACATCCCCGATGTCTTGTGGGGATGTTCAGACTGACATCATTATAAAACCATAAAACCAATAAATGGCTTTCAATCTTCTCCTCAAATTAGGCATGGGTCGCTTCTCCATCATTGCAAACTCATTATTATTGGTTAGAGGCAGCAGTCCATTAGGGGGCATATCACCCACTTGATATCCCCATATTAATATTCACCCTCTTGGACGGGTTGCGGCTGCAGAAATAGATGACCGGCATACAATTTTGGCAAGAGGGAAAAAGCTGCATTCATCTGTATTGTCTGGATGTGTTGATTTTTACTCCTCGCAGACATGACTTGGAGTAATGTAGTCGTCCTTTGATTGTCGAGCATAGCATGAAGCGTGCCCTTAAATAGACCGTGATGGTCGTGAAGTATAGCCTGCTGGTCCAGAAGTGCCTGTTGGGTCTGAAGCATAGCATGTTGGGTCTGCTATATACCCTGTAGGCCCTGCCCGATAAGCTGTAGCATTTACACAAAGGCCGGGTGAAGTGGATCCATCACATTCATCCTTGTGAGAACCTGATGGTACCTCAATTCCCGTTGTGCCGCATCCAAATTATTCATATTTGGAACCTTATCTATCAAAGTTCTCCTCCTGCGATCCTCAGCCGCGACCTGGTCGTTATTTGAAATCACTCAAAAAGTGAAGAGGATCTACGTTTATGTTCGTTACCGTAAACCCCTCATTTTGCACTTCAAGGTCGACGTTGGCATTTTGGACCACGTAATCACCCAATCCCAATTAGCCATGATTGGTGAGAGATTTGATTGCAGATGTGTTCCTTTTTTTTGTTTATCGGTAAGGTTTGCACTTTTTTTTTTTATCAGTAGGGGGTTTGGGGGTTTGCATTTGGGGGTTTGGGGGTTTGCAGATGTTTTCGCTTTAGGAGATGGTGGTGTTATGAGCCCCGTAGAATAAGATGAAGGAGTGGACTCAATAAATGGGCCACCCTATGAAACTCTATGTAATATAGCCCTATGAAGCACACAAAGAATGGGGTCGTTTTTTCTAATCACCTGAGTCATATTCGGTGCGAAAACCATAGCAATATTTCTGGCATTAATTTTGTTAGAATCTTCTTGCTCCACCACATCAGCCATGAGCTTGACAGCCCAGCTTAGTAAGCCACTCTCGGTTGGCTTTAGCTGCTTAATCAGCTCGTCCGAATCTTGCTCGATATTGCACTGCAAAACCTGCTCCAGAGAAAGCCCATCGAGCACGCCAGCTGGCAGCTCACGGAACCAGGCTTTGATCAAACCTGCCAAACAATGAACATCGATATCTTGAGGCACAATGCCTCTGTTCTGATCTCACATGTTCCTCCTTGCTATTTTCAGGGTTTATCCGAAAAATTCCTTCTGACTGCAAAGCATTATTATGCAAAAGAAAATGGAAAAAAGGAATATAAGTTTGTTTCATGCTGTTAAAAGTTCAAACTAATAAAATCTAAAGTAAGCAAGCTGAAGTTTTTTTCAACATTTTAAAATTTGTGTTTTCCCTTTACCTTTAGACCACCTTGTGAGTACAATCTTTCCTGCATTAGTAATAGAATTGTTGGGACGCTATTGCCCCTATTGTCGTAAGAGCATTGCATCGACTCGGCTGAGACCCCGAATACGCTTACACTGCATGAATTGATGATTCAAAAACAATGTCACTGCATGAATCGATTCAAAAACTAAATTCTGATAAGAACAGATCCTTAATATGAATTTTTCGGTGTGCGAAATATCATTTCGAAAAGATAGCTAATAGCTAGAATTCAAGATTATGGTCACACGAGCCGGAAGTTTTGGTCATGTAATATAAAAGGTAAAAAAAATATGTCATCTTTAATGAAGGATCAAATTGGGAACAGCTTAATTCAGCTCTTGATATCACATCAACTTAATTTTCTGCAATTATCTTTGAGGTCCAATGATTCTTAAAAAGCACATAATGACTCCTATTAAGGACTGAATATACAACTTTCTTTGACAGCTAGTGACATCTGACCTTGTAGATGATGTATTAACTATGTACCAACCTCATCTTTTAATGTTGCCCCATGTCAATTTTGAAGCAATTTAAGGAAAGGATTTCAAATTTGAAGCTACTACATTAATGGCATCATTGTGTCTTACCAAGCACCTAGTAAAGGCAAGTAATTTAAACCCAAAGTAGAAACAAAAGGGCTCCCAGATTTCTTCATAAATTAAATAATGAACAATAATAGATATTATTTCAAGATTTTCAACTACTCATTAACAATATTCAACACATTTCAGGTTCTAAATTATACCATGAAATCAATGCTGCAAATACCCACATAATTTTTTATTCATTACCTCTGGAGTAATCTCTAATTATGCAGTCTATGCTCCTCATATAAACATTAGGCAAATTTCAGCGTGGAAGAACACCAAATAGAATAAAAATCCAATCTTTAATAACTGAAGAAGCTTGAAACAATTTTAACTTGCTGACAAATAAAAATTCCAACAAGCAAAAGGGCCAAAAACGATAGCAAAAAACCAAACAAGAATGAACAAAAGAAATCGAAAAAGGGCCAGCAATAAAGATTTCGAAACATACAAAGACAACCCAGAAAAACAAAAACCAAAAAAAAAAAGGAGCAAACTTTTTTAGCCCCTTTTGTACACATACCTAGCACTCGGAGCTCGGCAAGGAACCTCGACCTCAAACACGACCGGAAGCCCCAAAGCCGTGAAATCTGTGGAATGTGACGTGGGTTATGTGGCGGACGTTCGTTGGCCAACCGATTTCCATGTGCCGGACGGCGGAGATCACCTCCTGGTCCCGCCGGTCGACCCGGCACGTGGACACCATGGATTTCCTCAGAGCAGATAGGATGAAGTCCAGCAGAGACAGCTGGCTCTGCTGCTCCGCCTCCGCCTCCGCGGCGGCAGATTTGAAGCTCTTGCCGGCGCACCCGACGGCGGCCCGAGTCACCATAACCATACCAGTCATTATTAGATTGAGAGTTTAGATCTGAGAGAGAGAGAGGGGAAGATAGAAGATGAACGAGAGAGAAAAACTGCACAGATATTTTATGCAATGAATGGATGAGACTTTAGGGTTTCTATGAGCTATTTATACAAAAGGTAAGTAACTAAAAGTGTTAATGAAAAATAACACTTTTACATAACAAATAAACCTATCTAAGAGCATCTTTAACAATGGCTTTTGAATGAGGTTTAAAAACACAAACCTTAGGTTTTGCTATTAGAGAGGGGAGGTTTGAGGTTTGTAAACACAAACCAGGTTTGGTTTCACAAACCTCCCTCAAACCTCTTATAATTAAAATTTAAAAATACATAAAGGAATGAAAAGAAGAAAGTGGAGTTCACATTTTCATCTACATGCTTATCTTTGGGCACGTGTAATCCAATTGCTAAAATTGGAGTGGAGAGGCTATGGCCCACTGGTGCCCACCCATGTGCCTTCTTTTAATTTTGTTGTTTCGTTATTTTTTAAATTCATGAGGTAAACTATTTTTTTTTTAAAAAAAAAAATGTTTCACTTTTTTCTTTATTTATTTTTACTTACGTTTTCTTTTACTTTTTTTTTAAAAAAAAATTTATTTCTAATTTAGTATTATTTTTTTTAATAATTCATTAACTTATTTAACATGATTTTATATATGAGTATAAAATTAATTAAAAGTAAGTGAAGAACATTATAATTAAATTAGTTTTTATATGTGTTTTAAAAAATGTAAGAATATAATATTTTTTTTATTTTTTTTTCCAATAAAGAATATAATATTAATTAAAAATAAGTATGAAACATGTGGGACCCATGGAGAAGAGGTTTATGAAGTTTATTGTTATTGGAGGTTTATAAATGTAGGAGTAAGAATGAGGTTTTGGATGAGGTTGCATGTTGGGAAGTGTAAAAGGAGGTTTATGGAGGTTTTATTATTAAAGATGCTCTAATAAAGCTGAAAGGTATAATACAATAAAACATGATGTACAATGCCTATTATTCTATTACCCCCTCAAGTGGAGCATATATATTGGGCATGCTCAACTTAGAGATCAAGGATTTGAATAATGGGTCTGGTAGTGGCTTGGTTAGGAAATCAGCTAGTTGTTCCATTGTGTGAATGTGATGGAGCTGAATCAATCCTTTAGCTATCTTTTCTCTAATCAGATGACAGTCCAGCTCGATGTGTTTTGTTCTTTCATGGAAAACAGAGTTTGATGCAATGGCTAAGGCTGACTTGCTATCTGTAAACAGAGAGACATGTATAGTGAGTGGAATATGTAATTCAGCACATAGAGATAAGAGCCATTGAATTTCACATGTAGTATAGCCAAGAGCTCTATACTCTGTTTCTGCAAAAGACCTACTTATAGTAGGTTGTTTCTTTGATTTCCAAAAAATTAGAGAATCACCAAGAAAAATTAAGTAGTCAGTTACACTTTTTCTAGTATCAATGCAAGAAGCCCAGTCACTGTCTGAATATGCTGAAATATGTAACTTAGAGGATCTAGGAAAGAGTATACCTTGACTAATTGTACCTTTTACATACCTGAGTATCATCTGAGCTGATTGAAGATGCTGTTGAGTAGGGTTAGACAGAAATTGACTTAAAGATTGAACAGAATAAGCAATATAAGGCCTACTGATGGTTAGATACAAAAGTTAAAATCAAAATAATAATAATAATAATAATAATAATAATAATAATAATAATAATAATAATAATAAAGTAAAAGAACAAAAAACTTTGGTGGCATGAAAGGAATATTTAGCATTCGGGTTACCATTAAAAACCCTCAATGGCTCCTGTTTTCATTAAACTGGACAAATTGATAAAATTTAAACTAAATATTAAATATTCTCTATAAAAACTTTGTTCATTTGCTTATTATTATTATTATTATTATTATTATTATTATTATTATTATTATTATTATTATTATATAAAAGTTACTACTACCTTCTATTTTTTTTTTTAATGTAAGAAATTTTTTCTTGTCAACAATCTTAGTCTTTTCTATGTAAAATAATTTTAAATGTAAATTAAATTAACATTAAATAATTATAAATGTAAAATACATTAACATTAAATAATTTTTCTTTTCAGCTTTGTCTATGTTCTTTTAAGAGAGAACTCATTGTTTTCCACAATTTTCATCTCAAACGTATAATTTATCGATTAAATAAGAGTAATAATGAAAAAATATGTATAAAACATTCAAAATGTCATTTATTTGACTAATGATCAACAAAATCAAAATAACAAATAAAAAAAAATATGAGAGATTCTCACATAGGAAGACAAAGAAATTTAAAGCATCTTATATTTGCTAAGTTTTTTTTATTTTTTCAAAAAAATAAGTAAAATTGCCAAGTCCCATATTTATCAGCATAATATCAATTCACATTTCAAAGCTCAAATCACCATTCTCCATACTCAAGACTAGTACGAATCTCGTGCGATGCACGGGGAGCAATTTTAAGTGATGATTTTACATCCACGAGTTTGAAAAAAAATGACATAAATTATTTAACACTTCCTAGTACACAACATTTGTGGTTTGAGTTTTTGACAAATCGTCCTGGCCACAAATTCTGACGATTCGTAACGCGGAAAACAACATACAGTTGACCCTAAACATTGGTTTCTTCAGAAACCGACCAATTGTCTTATAACGATTGACATTAACTCTTACTTATTGCGATATTGTATTTGTTGTAGCAAATTTTATTTATATATTTTCCAAGTCCCGAATCAAGATCCATTTCCCGGGTCGTCACAAGGAAAGTTTAGCCGGATTAAATTATGTGTTTAGTCGATTACAGAGAATAATAGAATAAAATCCTAAACATTCTAATCAATATCAAGTTTTTGTTCGATTATGAATTTAGATTTACTAATGAATAATATAAAGAAAGATAAATTTATAAAAAGATTTTATAGAAGAGTTAGGATTTCGGGAAATAATTGTATTCGATTCTAATAATAATTCAAATTATTAATTGTTCGATTAAGTGGTTCGATTAACATATTAATTTAGAGGTTTATATTCAATAACTTTTCGTAACATGAATATAAACATAAATTAGTATATTTTCGTATCAAATAATACATAAGCAATACAATTACGAACATGCTTACTCGTTTCGAGCCGAGATCGACTAACTTCGCCCCTCTCGGTTTTGAAATTAATTAAGTTGATTTAGAATATGTTTAATCAACTAAACCATAAAAAATAAATATAACTCGAAACGATATGAACAATTAATAAAATGTTATCACCATCAAATCGAAACAATTATTTCCCTATTCCTAACGGAATAAGTTAGTTCATCGTGATTTTATCGAGACAATCAACAATAATAACCCAAGCTATCATCATACTTACGAATAAGTAACGATAACTTACGA